TGTGGACGATGGGGTGCATGAACATAAGGAAACAGGCTTTCAGGCCACTGGGAACTTGCTCATTTGAACTTGCAACAGTGGTGACAGCACGCACCAGACCCATGCCAACTCAACTATACAATAACCCAGCATAGAACAAGGGAAATGTTTCCAAATGTAGCCTAGGAGCTATTGGCTAGCTGTTGGGTGAGGGAGAGTAGATCTTCTTTAAGGGAGAGACTTTAGATGGGCTGACTAGACTCCAGTAGATGAACTTGTACCAAAGGACATCTGGGTACAAATGCTTGACCAGATGGGACTTAACATATATGACAGAATGCATGAAATCCAGGGTAGAGGCCTCTGGAGGGGAAAGGGGGGTGTCTAAATTTGATTAAGATCTATTATATAAAGTGTGCAAAAAACTCAATGAAAATATTTTAAAATAAATAAAATAATTATTTTTTGAAAGTCACAGCATAAAAAGGAATTCCTTGTTCTGTGATGACTCTGAAACCTGTTGTCTGTCAATTTCCCCATGCATACATTAGAGCATTAAAAGATCTCTGGTATTTATGAAGAAAGTCTTCAAGGAAGTAAATTTTCCTCTGAGGAAGGACTTTCTCAAGGAAGTATTTTGTACTGAAACATCTGCAGGATCAGGGGGTTACTCAGCGTCTGGTTACTTAGACACCAATGATTTCTTCTCATGTGCTCCTCAAACTGAAAATAGAGATGTAACTTTTCTAGGCATGATAAATTGTGTTAGGTAATTAGATTATTTTCAATGGTAATAACATGGTTCCTGAAATAAATTTTACTAAGTGATCAAGTATCTTGAACATACAGCAAATATATTTATATAGTTTTTAAAATTGAGCATTGGCTTTTTTCATAGAAAACCATGAGAACTCTATCTTCTTACTTCAACACTGGTTCTCACAGGGGTTTAAGGGGAAAAAAAAGCACACCACATTTAGAAAAAAATCATTGCATGACTATATAAGTTGGTGAGATTTATTATTATTATTTTATTAAAATTACCACTGAAGGGGTTGGAGAGATGACTCGGCAGTTAAAAGCACTGGTTGCTCTTGCAGATGACCTGGGTTCAGTTCCCAGCACCCACATGATGCCTAATAACTGTCCATAACTCCAGCTCCAGGGGATACCCTGCATCTGATACCCTCTTCTGGCTTCCACATGCATGCCCTTGATGCTCTTATATACATGCAAGCCAAATACTCATACACATAAAATAAATGAATAATTTAAAAATTATCCACTGAAGTTGTTTTAGCACCTAACATTTTTCAGTTCTGACTGCATAAAATCAGTCTTGCAGACTATTGATAAAGATGAGATACAGCTTATGGATAATGAAATAAGGAAATGTTCCTTCAATATCATGTTTTAAGATAAAATGGAGACCATAGCTAACAGCTGAACATGTAACCGATGCTCAGTGCATACATTTTAATAAAGTAATTTACCAAATAATTAAAAAGGTTTCAAAGTTTCTTAACTCCAGCTTTTTTCTTAGAACTTTCATGAAATGTACCCTTCCTTTCTTCAGAATTTCTGAAGACCTATTCATTAAGAGCATTCCATATATTTATAAGACAATCACAATGTTAAGCAGGGAAATGGCATAAACAGATATATGTTTGTGAAAAGAGTTCAGAAAATGGATTGGATAGAGGGGAAGCCAGACACAAAGGACCATGTAAAAGCCTATTCTACGGACATCTGGAGCTACAGAGTGGCGGTGATATTTCAGAGGAGCAAACGGATGCAGAGAGAACAGGGTTTGAAAGACAAGGTAGTCATGGAAATTGCCAGAAAATGAAATCAGCAATGAGTCTTGGGTGCTAGAGAGGAAAAAAGATCATTGACCAAATGGAGACAACAAAGGGAGATGTTTAGATGTTTTAGGAAACACAGTTATGAGGAGTTTTGAGATGGTGAAGCAGGCATGACCAAAAGTATCTTCAAAAAGAGTCCGGAGTTCCAAAGTCACCACAGTCAAAGACATGCAGGATGTAGGAGGAGGGGTAGACGAAGTAAACAAGGTGTGTGGGATTGCAGGCAATGAGGTCCAAGGGCAGGAAGACCAATGGTTTCCAAACATATAGACAGGTAGTTTTTGTTTTGTTGGCCTGTTTTTTAACTTTTATTTTATGTGCATGACTGTTTTGCCTGCATGTATGTAAATGCACCCATACCTGAAAGGCACATAGAAACCAGAAGAGGGCATCAGGTCCCCTGAAACTGGAGTCACATTTTTAGATGCCATGTGGGTGCTAGGAACTGAGTCCAGGTATTCTGCTGCCAAGCCATCTCTCCAGCCCCAACAAGCAGTTTTTTTTTTTTTTTAAAGATTTTAAAAGTGTGAACAGAGAGGTGAAAGGAGAATCAAAAGACGATGGCATATTTTGGATTGGTGGCTGAGATTTCACTAACAACCTTGACAAGAGCCTATTTAGCATAGGCTGACATAAAAATGATGCTGCACTTTTCTTGAGAGGCGAAGGGAGGTAAGAAAAGTACAAAGTAGCTTTTCCTTTAAAAAACTTTTATTAGCATTTATTACTTATATGGAATTATGCTTTTAATTATGACAGCTTCACACATGTGTACAATGTATTTTATCATATTCATTTCCCATTACTTTAAAGAAGTCTTGTGTGGAAAGAGAAGGATGTTTTAAAATTATATTTAAAACAAGGACTGGAGAGATGACTCAGCAGTTAAGAGCACAGGCTGCTCTTGCAGAGGGCCTGAGTTTGGTTCCCAGCACCCACGTGGTAGCTAACAACCATCCATAACCTCATTTCCAGGGGATCCAACACTCTCTTCTGGCCTCTGGGGACATTGTATGCATAGGTGCATTTGTATACACACAGGCAAAACACATGCACATAAGATAAAAACAAATAAATAAAATATTTTAAATTATGCTTAAAGCAGTGTTCAGCAAACATTTTTTTGTAAAGGGAGAAACAGCAATTTCCAAGAATTTATTGATAGAATAGAGACATACAATTGATTTCTGTGCTTTGACTTTTCAATCTTACCATCTTGCTAAATTCATGTATTAGTTCTAGGATGGTTTTTGTAAACTCTTTAGTATTTTTTATATAGGTAGGTTATTATGTTATCTGAGAATAGCTTTACTTTTTCCTTTGGGTTTTTTTTTTTTTCTTTTGTTTTCTTATTGTATTGGCAATATCCCACAATCTAATGAAAGTGGGACAGAGCTATCCTTGTGTATTGGTTGCTTTTCTGTTGCTGTGATTAAAAACACCAAGGAAACTTATAGAAAAAAGGACTTTATTTCAGCTTACTGTTCACAAGGTTAAAGGTCAATCATGACCGCGAGGCTCGGCAGCACAGAAGCATGGTGGAGCCTGGAGCAGAAAACTGAGCGCTGGCATCCATAAGTGTAAACAGGAAGCAGACAGTGACAAGCACTTGGGGCCAGACTGTGGACTCTCAAAGCTCATCCCCAGTAGAATGCTTCCTCCAGAAAAACTACACCTCCTAGAGATTCCATGACCTCCCTAAACAATGTCACCAACGGGGAAGGGGGGTGGGAAACAGGACACCAAGTGTTCAAATATTTGAGCCTGTAGGGACATTCTCATTCAAACCACCACAACCAGCCTTGTGCTTGAACTTAGGAGGAAAAACAGTCTACTTTCAGTGTTAACTATGTTAGATGTAGGTTTTTAGCAAAAAAAAGCTTTTCTGGTTAAGGAATTTTAGTTCAATTTTTATATAATGGGTTTATATGAATTTTACTTATCTATTGAGATGGTTTTATATATCAATATGATGATTTATTTGTTTAAATGTGAATACCACTTTGCATACACAGGGTGAATTCCACATGGCCATGGAGTCAAATCCTTTAAAATATTGCTGGTTTTCATTTGCCAAAATGTTCTCAAGGATTTTTGTATCTGTTTTCATAAGTAGATTTTTAAAAATTGTTTTCTCTTATTATCTTATTTCTTATTATCTTGTATTTTTAGAATCAGGGTACTTGTGGCCTTATATAATGAGTTGGAAAGTATTTCTCATTTTCTGTAAGAATCTGTAGAGTTGATACTACTTCTTCTTTAAAGATTTGGTAGACTTGACCTTTGATGTCATCTATGTATGACTTTTTCTTTGTTGAAATGATTTTAACTACAAATTGAATTTCTTCAATAGAATACAGGTATATCCCACTTTTCTATTCATTCTGTAAGTTTGGTTTTTTTTCTATCTCACTTCATTGAGTTTTATGACAAATGTGTTCATAATTTTTTCATTTCACATTAATATCTACAGACTCTGTTATAATATCTCTATTCAGTTTGTCCAAAATAGTTGTGAGGGAGAGATGACTCAGCAGTTAAGAATACTAGATATTCTTCCAGAGGACTCAGGTTTGATTCCCATCATTGACATGACAGCTAACAACCATTTGTAACTTCAGTTCCAAGGGATGTGATGCCCTCTTCTGGCCCACATGGGCATTGCACACATGTGGTACACAAATACATGTAGGCAAAACATTCATACATAGGAAATGAAAATAAATAAAATATATTTTAAAAAGAAATAGTGTTATGAGCAGTCTGGCTAAGGAAATTTCTTTAACAGCATTACTAGTGATATTTGGGGAGTTCTAGTGACAGTCTGTGTTGTGAAAGGCAGTCCTGTGCATTGAAGGATTTTAATCTCTATATGCCAGTATCAGCTCACAGTGATGGAATGAAAAACGTTTTCTGACAACTCCAAGTGGCCCCTAGAGGGAAGATAGGGCGGTGAAGAGCAGTTGCCCTGATTAAAACCTGCTAATCCTAGAATTAACGTTTGTACATGAGTACTGTATTTACATTATTTCCACCTCTTCTTCTCCCTCTTGAGCTTTTCCCATGTCCCTCCCATTCCCTCTCTTGTTCATGACCTCTTCTTTAATTATTATTGTTACACACACACATAATTAAAATAATTTTTTTAAAATGTCAGTCCTTTTGTAGTTCTTAAGTGTGATCTGGATTGTCACGTGATGGTGTGAGGTGCACCTCTCTCCAAACTTATGATGTTGGCACATGACCTATCTGATGTGAACTTAGAGGGAAGAGAAAAGTAAGTCAATTCTCTGCAAAAATTTCCTGTGATCCCCTCAACTTAAATAATGAACGGTAGTCTGGATCCCACCAATCCTCGCTGTTTCCTTCCACATACCCTAAAATGAGTTCATGTAGACTACTTCATGTTTCTAAAACAGGCTATAAATGTTAATCGTCGATGTTAAAACTGTCCACTGTGGTGACTGAAGAGTGTGAATACTCCATGGAACCATGTAAGCCTTTTCATGACCTACAACGGTGGTTAAAGATGCGTTTGTTACTGTTTTTGATCTCTGCGCTCACATCGCATATAATACTTCCAGCTCTTTTGATACAGTAAACACTTTTCAAATATCCCTTAGTAAGAGATAGCTGATGCTGTATTCCCAAAGCTTTAAATTCCCAGTAATTGTCTTTTCCCTGACCCTGCCTTAATCTACAATTAAAACAGAAAATGACAGGAACCCTGTCTTCTATCCATTCTACTCACTCAAAAGAGCCGTCCTCTCCTAGAAATACTAACCTGCCCCTTCACAGGGCAAAGTAGATGAGCATGGATCTGAGAAGGTGCTAAATCTCAGTCACCCTTGGCTTGATGGTCTCCCCGAGCAGACGTTCACAAATCCAGGAAAAAAGAAGAGAAAATCAGGATTGGTTGTGGCAGTATTAGCAGAAATGAAAGAATAATGCCAGCAATTATCAGGCAGGCAGTTAGAATTCTGATTTTGTGGCCTTTGTATCTTCTAAGATCTTGCCTCTAGGCAAGCCAAGCTCCAAAACTTACTTGTTATTAGGAATTCTTATAAGGACTAAAGAAATGCCAATCTTTATAGAGTGTACCAACAAAGCCTTAAAAGAGTAGTCAAATATGAGTCAGTCATGGTCACCGAGCTGATGTTTCTCAGTATAAATTTGATGTCTTACCATACACCCTGGTCAAAGGTCATAAGTATCTCTCTGTTGAAAACTGCACATACCCCAGACATTGTTTTGTTTACCACTTCAGTGGTTCTATGAAACCCCAGACTGCCTCCCTCTCAGCGGACTTGGGTTTGAACGATGGACTGCTGCCCTTCCAGGGCATAAACATATGAATGGTCCTCTGCAAACTCATTGTTGCTCATCAGAGTAACCTGTATTCTTTTCAACTCTGCTCTCATATATGCTTAAGAGATAAATTCTGCATTTTGTTCCCTTAATGGTAATAATAAGTCAACGAGAGAACTTAAGAAAAACCTTTTTTTCTGTCTAACTGCCTGGTCTTCTGGTGGTACCTCAGCCAGCAGCATTAATAGCTCAGCGCACTCACAGCCAGCATTAACTTTCATCCTAAAAGTAATTACCACATTACAAAGGAATACATGAATATAAGAACAGAGACAGCACGCATGCCGAGCACCATCAAACCACGCACAAGAAACGGGCACAAAAGATGAACAGAGATTCGCTAAAGACAAAGCCTTACATTTAACAATAAGGTGCGGGAAAGGTTTTTTTTATCATGTTGATTAATATAAAAGGCTTAACATTAACTTTTATGATCTCTCTTTAGAAATATGATTCACTGTCACTCATGTTATGCATTTGTCAAGAAGATGCTAATAACTAAATTAACTAAGTAAAAAAAAAAATACAAAGCTAATAACTAGTAAGAGCTGTAGTGAGCATGGCCCATTTCCAAGGAATTAGGGCTTTTGTGGTATTGTGTTTGTTTGTTTGTTTGGGTGGGTTGTTTAATTATTCAAAGAAATGTACACTCATTCTGGGTCATCCAGGATTGATAGTCAAAGGCTAAAGAATTGGGCCTCATACTACCCGGGAAGAATTTTTATAATACGGCCCTCATTAAACTGATCTTTGTCAGCAGTTCCCGCATGGCAGTTCTCCAGCCTATTGGAATGAGTGGCTAGAAGTGAAACCCTACTGCAAATGTGCATGTATGCGTATGTTCAAGTACGTGTGAGTGCACATGTGTGCAGCAGTCAAAAGACAGTCTCAGGTGCCATTCCTTAGGCACTGTTCATTTTTTTTTTTTTAAACTTACATAGGCTCTCTCACTGGCCTGGAACTTGACACATAGCCTAGGCTGACTGGCCAGTGAGCACCAGAGATCTACCTGTCTCTACTTTCTCAGTGCTGGGATTGTAAGTTCAGGCTACCACACCACAGGTATTTTTTTAAATGTGGATTCTGTGGATCAAGCTCAGATCTTGATACTTAGAAACCAAACATGACCAATGGAGCCATCTCCCCACCCTCAACAGTCAAGCTGATGGCTTTTCTGATTAAAGCCATCTGTTTGCCCATTAAGGAAACTAGTGAAAACTAATCCTAATAACCTTTGTTTTCAAAATAATAGAAGACAGAGACTGGTCTATCTTGTAAATATGATTATTTTATCAAATCATATGGTACAGAGAAACCATGAGGAACTCGGTGTGTTTTCAGGTAGACAATTAACTCTAAAAGCCTTTTTTAAAAGTCATATGGAAACCTACTGCTGCAGAAGCTTTTAAAAATATATACATATATAAAAAGAATTTCAATGGAATTACCCATAGCAGACACCACAGGTTAGCAAATAAAAAGCCTAATGCCAGCAATGGGCTCTTGTGCTGTGTGACAGCTTCAGTTACCAACTGGGGAGGGGGCCCTCAATTGGGGAACTGCTTCCACTGGACTGGCCTCTGGTCATGTCTGTGGGGGAATTTTCTTGATTGTTGAGTGATATGGGAGGACCCAGCCCACTGTGGGTGGTGCCACCCCTGGGCAGGTGGTCCTGTATTGTATAAGAAAGTGGGCTGAGCACAGACCAGGGGAATCTTGATACTTAGAAACCAAACATGACCAATGGAGCCATCTCCCCACCCTCAACAGTCAAGCTGATGGCTTTTCTGATTAAAGCCATCTGTTTGCCCATTAAGGAAACTAGTGAAAACTAATCCTAATAACCTTTGTTTTCAAAATAATAGAAGACAGAGACTGGTCTATCTTGTAAATATGATTATTTTATCAAATCATATGGTACAGAGAAACCATGAGGAACTCGGTGTGTTTTCAGGTAGACAATTAACTCTAAAAGCCTTTTTTAAAAGTCATATGGAAACCTACTGCTGCAGAAGCTTTTAAAAATATATACATATATAAAAAGAATTTCAATGGAATTACCCATAGCAGACACCACAGGTTAGCAAATAAAAAGCCTAATGCCAGCAATGGGCTCTTGTGCTGTGTGACAGCTTCAGTTACCAACTGGGGAGGGGGCCCTCAATTGGGGAACTGCTTCCACTGGACTGGCCTCTGGTCATGTCTGTGGGGGAATTTTCTTGATTGTTGAGTGATATGGGAGGACCCAGCCCACTGTGGGTGGTGCCACCCCTGGGCAGGTGGTCCTGTATTGTATAAGAAAGTGGGCTGAGCACAGACCAGGGGAGCAAGTCAGTAAGCAGCATTCCTCCACGGCCTATGCTTCAGCTCCTGTTTCCAGGTTCCTGTCCTGAGTTCCTACCTTAGGTTCCCTCAGTGATGAACTCTGACCAGGGAGATGTAAGCCAAATAAGCCCTTTCCTCTCCAAGCTGGTGTTGGTCAGAGTGTTTTGTAGCAATAGAGAAGCAAACTAGAACAGGCTTTATTTTGGAGTTGCTGATGGGGATCCCATAAACCCTCAAACAATACTGCTATTTCCATTGTTCTTACCCTCCAGCACTTGATTGTAAGCTCTATTGCTGCAGAAATTACATATGTGAGTCACAGAACAAACAAGGAGAAATCAAGCTGGTACTGACCTTGAAGCTTCATCCTTACTGGCTAGTTTTTATAGTGATGGAGGTCTATTCATGTTACCAGAAGAGAAGGTAATCATCAATCTTACCCCCCTGTGAACGCTGTGAGCCACAACAACTGACCTGGCAAGATATGCCCACTGGTATGATAGTGGCATGAATATTATGAGAGTAGCCAGCCACTTTCTGACTGGATGTAAGGTGGCCAGTTTCACACGATAGACCCAATACCTGGCATTGTTATCAGGGCTAAGGACCTGTAGGTACACAGGTCATAGGCTGTAGGGGAGAACCTACTATCATTACCCTGCTAATAGTATTAAATTGACCCCTAATGACTTATTGTTATATGAAAAGATTAGTGTGTCTCTCAACTCTCACCGAAGATGTTTCTTCTTGCAGCAAATGGTGATCAACACAGAGACCCATAACTGGCCAACGTGCGCAGAATAAGAGATTGTGGAATGCTTATCCCTAAATGGGACACCTACATCACACCCTTTCCTCTCAAGATTTGGAGTTCATTGCAGAAGAAGGCGCAGAAAGATTCTAAGAGCCAGAGGTGATGGATGAATATAAGGACACTGTTTTCAGGATTAGGTGGGGCAGTTGCACATATGAACCCACAGCGCTTGTGACAGTATGCACAAGACCTGTACAAGCCCAAGTCAGACAAAAACCCAGCATGGATGGGGGAGTCAGCAAGAAGCCCCAGCCCTGAGGAACTATTGACAATCAATAGCTGTGGGAGAGGGAGAGGAGTTTTTCCTTAAGGGTTTGACATTGGGTAGGTTGACCAGGCTTGAGAGGATGGACTCACACCCAAGAGCAGTTGGGGAACACAAATTAGACTCGATAGGCCTTAAAAAATAGTAATAAAGGGCAAGAAGTGAAGAGGGAGGAGGGAGAGGGAGTAGATCTGAAAGAAGTCAGAGAAAGGGATGTGAGTATGAGCAAAATACATTGTATAAATTCTCAGATAATCAATAAAATATTAAAAACAACTTCAATCTATTTAAGATCTTACGTAACGCATTGTCTGAAAATAATTTTGGTTTTACAGATGTAAGGTAGCCTAAATTAGGTGGCATTCCAACAACTTTCAAGCATAGTGCCTCTCTGGCTTGATCTTACACTGTAATAAATTCTTATATTATCTATTATCCTGTCACTTTTCATGACATACATTCCCATTTACATTTAAAAATTGA